CGCAATGCATTACATACATCATGATATTGCATAAAACTAACTTTATTTTTCAGGTTAGTTCACAAACAGATAAATATTGTTAACAATTTATCATCCTTCATATGAAATCAGTCGATGATTCATTCTGATAATCCTTTGGATACAGTTAGGAGTAGACTCATTCCAGTATATCTGCTAGATACAGTCAGAAACATACTCATTCTAGTATACTTCTCAGATACCGTCGAACATAGACTCATTCTGATACTCCTATCAATAAACACTTTGTAGGGCATCTATAAGCCCATCTCTGGCGGAATTCCGTTACCTCTATGAATGACATCTTTAAGCCAATTTAATAAATTCAATCAACCAACAGTTTTACTTCGTGCACCGGTGAGTGCAAATTCCCGGGCACTTAAGTGTTCAATCCTCTTCCACCTTCAGATCACGATTGACGCACATGCCAATCTAACTCCTCAGGTTTAAGAAGATTGAACAGGGGCAGTTCTTGTACCCCAAAATTTTCCCTCCCATTTCCAAGACAAATTAATTCAAAACACTTCATCATGCTCATAGAAGTTTCAATTGCTCAAGGGTACTCCAGGAATTGATCATATAAGTCTTCCTCCTAAGAAATTCACCTACAAATAGGGTTTTGTTTTTCTCAAGGAAAATTGAGATTCTAATGCCTCAAGTGGGTTTCATAATTCCTCATATGCTTCAAAGAATCCTCATGTCATGTTTCAGGCTTTGCTTCACAAGTTTGCTTAATCAATTGCTCAGATGAGTAAAAATCAGTTGTGTTGGGTAAAAAGTCAACATTGATCAATCTACAGTCAAACTTCAATATTTTTGGTCAACATCAATATTTTGAAGTCACATTCATCATTTGATCAATGTTTGATCATGATTCATCAAGAAAAAGCAAGATTCATCAAAAGTCAAAAGTTGCTAAATTAGGATTTTCTTAAGGAGAAGTCAATTGAACTTTGACCAAGCATAACTTTCACATACTTCATCAAAAATTCCTCAACTAAAGCCTAACATGAAGTAAATTTAATTTTGTTCAACTTTGTCTCTCTAAGCTCAAGGCCAAAAATGCCTCATTTGAGAGATATGAGTCAAAACTTTACAGGTCATTTTGAAAGTCAACAAAAAGAGATTTTTTATGAAGGTAATTTACATCAAGTTAAATACTTCAAATAAAAAAATAATCAAAATGAAAGTAATAGTAGTAGTAGTTGACATCTTGATATTTCTAAAAAGTCTAAGATCACCTTCATATGACAAAAATTGAGAGAGTTATGATTGGTGCAAGTTGAGCAAATTTGGAGAAATGCATGAAACTTTCATTAAATAATTTTGAAGTTTTGGAATAATGGGCCAAACTTTTGAGGTCTAAACATGTTCATGGTACCTTAAAGGACTCCTAAATTTATTCATACATTTTTGTGATTTTTATTTCTTTTTATTTTGATTTTATTCATTTAAGTTCAAAATAAATCAAATAAAATACCAATTAAATGGATTAAGGCATGTGGATATTGTTTTAATCATGTTGGAGGCCCAAATATAAATCTTGAGAAGCAAGAAACCGTGTGATCTCATGAAGATATGATTTAGCCAAATTTAGAAACTTTTCATGTTAATTTTAAATCAAATCTTCACATCTCTCAATCATGAGATCCAAGCCCACAAGTTTGACCTAATCTTCTCTTCTATATATACTCATGACATTCAGACCAAAGGGAGGATGAATAGCAACTTGCAAGAGTCAACCCTAATTCTTCAAATTCATTAAAAAAAACTATGGCACAAGTAAACTTGTTCTCCAACAAATTTCAATCAGCTTTGAGCATTCCATCAGCTTTCTGAGACCTCCAAGAGTCATTCCTAATTATTACTCAAGCCTACAACATCTCAGAACTCTACAACCAAACATCTTCGGTTTGTTCATATTTCGTGATTTTAAACTATTTACTCATGCAACATAAATGAATTATATGCATATATTCATGCTCATATTGATGATTGAAATTATTTTGAACCATAGTTTCTGAGTTTGAGTGAAGATATCGCAATTCACCATTGTTAGGGCTCGAAGCTCTCAAAGTTTTGAAACCCTAGCTACAGGGATTCTCAGTCCAAATTAATACCACCATTGAATTCGTGAGGTCTCAATTAGTGAATCGAGATGCTTTTCTTTTTCGTTTTGTTTGATTTTGCAGGTTTGACATTTGGCCTCACCGGAGAAGAAGGTGGCGCCACCGTTGGTGGTGGCACTGACCTGAGTCAAAAGCATGTGTGGCTCTTTCTCTCTCTCTCTCTCTCTCTCTCTCTCTCTCTCTCTCTCTCTCTCTCTCTCTCTCTCTCTCTCTCTCTCTCTCTCTCTCTCTCTCTCTCTCTCTCTCTCTCTCTCTCTCTCTCTCTCTCTCTCTCTCTCTCTCTCTCAATGGTCCATTAAAAAACAACTGACTCCACCACTAGCGCGCGTTTTCAATTCTTTTTTATTTCTGATTTTTAGATTTTAACTTGTTTTATATATATTACATGTTATTGAATTGACGCGAAACAACTATGGTCAGGTGGTAAGTGAGACGCTTTTTAAACGAGAGGGTGTGGGTTCGATCCTCCCTTTTGTCAAAATATTTTCTTTATTTTCCAGGTTAACGCAGGTTCATTATGTATTGATTGACACTCATTCTCAATCACAAACAAGCATATGGCTTGATGGACGAAGATGTCACCTTTGAGCCAAAGGGGGTGGGTTCAATCCCCACCCCATGCATCTTATTTTCTCAGTTTTTCTAACCCTTATTTTTCATTATATTTAATGATCATGATCTAATTAACCAATTAACCAAAAATCCTAAAATACCTTTTTTTTCAAAATATAATTAGTTTTAAGTTTATTTCTTAACCAATTGATTTTCTTTAACTAATTTTACTTTAGGTTTTTATTAAATAAAATGAATTAGAAATTAAGTTTTTTTAATTAATTTTAACACTTAAATTATTTTCTACAAAAGCATCAAAAATATATTTTCTAACACATAGAATCTTAAGGTTTTAAACATCTTTTTCTAACATTTTCATTCATCTTTTGTCAGTTATTTTCTTAGTCAAGTGTATAGGACGCACTCTCTAATGTAATAGTTCCGCATCTTTTTTTCCTATTATGTAACTGCCCACAGGATGTAATAGCATAGGACATTTATATTCTCGCACATTATATTTTTTTTAAACTGTTAGTAATTAGGGTTTGTATGGAAAGACTAAAATTGGACATAGAAAACCTAATTCCTAAGACTAAATAATTGGGTTAACACACAATCACACTTGCACCTTTAGGGTAACCTCTCTTGTTGCCTTACGAATATTGGTCATGTCCCTCGAAAGTAAGAATGCTTTAGCAAAAGACACTCGATACAATCATCATAGTCCCTACGATACAAAAGATCATAGTCTCTCAATGTCCCTCGAATTGCCTATGGAAAGATGATCTAGTCCCTCGGTGACCCTACGAATAATATAATGATAGTCCCTTCGATATAATTGCTAAAATATCCTTACATGTTGCCTTCTATGACCATACGATAACCCTATGTCTGTCCCTTCATATCCGATAGATAAGATTATCTACCAACTAATGGTATGGATAGTGCTATCTCCAAAGGAAAATGAAAAAGAGTAGGAAAGACAAAAACCTGGTGGGTAGGACTCTTGAATGCTTGCTCACAAACAAAACATTTTCTCACATCACACTTTCAAAACAATAAGTATTTTAAAAAACACTTTGTATACATTCTTGAGGACTGATATAAGAATTATTACAACATTTCAAAATATTTTCAAACAATTCACACACAAAAAATAAGTGAGCTAAGCAATCAAGAGTTCGTAGATAACTACGGGTGTAAAGGGTGCTAACACCTTTCCTTTACATAATTTATCCCCCGAACTCAAAATCTTTCAAAGGTCTTTCTTGTTCTTTTCACCTTTCCTAAGTATTGGATAAAAGAAAAGTCGGTGACGACTCTTGCTAACCGCACATTTGCGATAACACTAAAAAAGTCAGTTCTCTCACCGTATTATAAAATGTGTTTTGGTTCATATTTGCGTTATATCTTATTTTTCTCAGTATTAAACATTGCGTGTATTTAGGGTGCAACAGAAAATATAAATACGGTTTAGATCGTAAATGTATTTCTAGTTCGTGCTCCACCATTTTATATGATCTAGACAATAATATGTCAGTTCTGGATATGTACCAAAAAAAATTCCAATTTCTAAAAACATTTACATCTTTTCGAACAGTAAACTAAAAATATATAAAGTGCTTTAAGAAATTCTCTTTAAAATTTATCTTTTACATCAATATGGTGCACTTACACTAATTTCTCCCGGCAAAATACAACCATTATCTATCTTCTCAAAATAGAAAAATGTGGCAACACTTCTTTCTCTATAAAACCCCATAAACCTCTCCACCAATTACTTTTTGTTGAGAAATGTGTCCCCATTAAAAATCATCTATAGTAGTCGTGAAAGGGACACTTAAACTAAAATTTCCAAAAGCATTGAAAACTTTATTCTGGCTCACTTGCTTTCATCATCACCATTTAAGCATATTTACAAAACAACCAAAACTTTTGGATACCAAGAAATAATTATAAGTGACAAATTCTTGTTTGCCATGGTTGAAGAATGAATAATACATAAAATGATCAAAATGCTTTTGGTTAAATTAAAAATAGTGATCTAAAAAGACTAAGAAGACAAGTAATATTTATCATTTCATTAGATGAAAGATCATAAATAATTGAATCACAACTTCAATACAGCACAATTCCATAAGAAATCTAAACCTTCTAAATGAACAAAATAACTCAAGTAATTCCATAACAGAGAACTGTTTCATGCACTTTTAAATCCCATTGAATGTTACTTCCTAAAGAAACAAGTTCAATAAATCAATTTGTTTGTAACACAAGAAAAAAAGAGGACAACATAGCTAATCATGGTGTTTGAACATTTAAATCCTTGGATTTATTCTCGTCTGAAGAAGGTCGGTTATCCGAGTCAGATTGTCGAATTTCTTCAATCATTCTCACTACTTCCTCCATGTTAGGCCTCATATCCGGAACCTTGGCAACACAAGCCATGCCAATTTGCAACATTTGCACCATTTCTTCTTCAATATTTTGGTACCTCATTAGCTCCACATCGAAAACCTCAGCGGTCCATTCCTCCCGAACAACAGACTGAACCCACCTAGGCAGATCAACCATGTCATCGCGTACCGGAGACTGTTGTGGCGCTTTACCAGTAAGCATTTCCAAAAGGAGGACACCGAAACTGTACACGTCTGATTTATGAGTGTGCTTTCGAGTTTCCATTACCTCGGGAGCACGGTAGCCTGCGGTTCTGGAAGGGGTTGCAGGAACGTTCATGATTGGTGTCAGGCCGAAATCTGAAATGCAGCCATCGTTATCTTGGCTTATGAGGACATTGGAGGATTTCACATTTCCGTGTGTGAATTTTGGACCGCCAACTGAATGTAAATGCGCAATTCCCCGAGCAATTCCGAGTGTGATTTTTACTCGCATGTTCCAATCTAAAGTAGCTCTTCCACCTGTTCTACTACCTGTCATCAAATCGAATTATAACAAATTTCATTTCTTAACTTAGAATAAAAGAAAAGAGTTCAATTTCATAAGCATAAACTGAAACTAAGAAATAGAAATGCATACCATGCAAGAGTACAGATAGATTGCCATTTGGGAAATAGTCACAAACCAAAAGCTTCTCATCCTTCGAATAATAATAAGCGCGAAGTGGAACGAGATTCGGGTGATTTCCAATGCTTCCAACAATCTCCATCTGCTGTTCAAACTCCCTCTTTCCTACCACAACTTCTTTCAACCTTTTCACTACAACTGTTGTTGCTTCCTCCAAGATAGCCTTATATGCGGTTCCGTAACTTCCCTTTCCGAGAACCTCAGCCGAAGCCCTTAGCAAATCCTCGAGATCGAAATTATAAGAGCACCCCTCAAAGAAAACCAATTTGTTTTTCTCAGATTCTTGCACGCCACTTCCAAACTCTTCTTTCGGTTTTTCAGTCCTTCCACCACCGCCACTAGGCCCCTTATCTTTAACAACTCTCGAGCTTCCGTTATCTTTTTTCTTTAAACAACAAAGAACAATGACAAGAACTACAAAAAACAACAGAGCAGCTCCACCAACAGAAATTGCAATGATAGCTCCTTTACTAAGTTTACTTTTGGAGTTATGTCTTACAGGAGCAGATGCAGGAGGCGCGGATGAACGAGGGACTGATGAGCACGACTTTAGAGGTAATCCACATAAAAGAGAGTTCCCTTCAAAGGATGAACTTGAGAAACTATGTAGAGACGAAGGGATAGAGCCATTCAAATGGTTATAACTTAAATTCAACTGCTTGAGATTGACATGGAGATCAGGTATCGGTCCAGATAACGAATTGTTCTCGAGGCTCAAATGAGTTAGTTGTGTTAAGTTTTGCAGTGTCTTTGGAATGCTACCAGTGAATGAATTGTATGACAAAACAAGTGCATTGAGTTGCAGTGACAACGAGGTTGGTAATTTACCAGAAAGGTTATTGTGTTGAAGGTAGAGATATTGTAGAGACGGAAGAGAAGTAATATCCTGAGGTAGATTTCCACTAAGTAAGTTCGAGCGAAGGCTGATAGTTTTGAGTGAGTCAATTTTGCCGAGTGTATCGGCTGGAATGGTGCCTACTAGTCCGACTCCAGGGAGCCGAACAGAAACAACACGAGTAAGGTTTGGATTGCATGTGATGCCTATCCAAGATGTACATATTGAGGTAGATAGGTCCCATTTAAGGTTCCGTCGATGAGGGACAGAAGTAACAAAATTAAGAAGGGCTTGCTTATCAGAATTCAGGTCAGCAATAACTAGAGGAGAAAGAATTACAATGATAAAAAGGAAAGCTTGCAATGGAGATGAGTAGAACTTCATTGAATTCAATGTAAACTCTGTCATCCTTCACATTTTCCTGCTTTAGCATCAAAAACACAAATCAATGTGAACAAAATTAGAATGTCGAAATTACAATGACAGCATTTAAGAAAATATTTAGAATAATTCCAGTAAATTCAAGATGCATCCACATAAGCCAAGAGACATATAGGAAGTTGGGACAAACATATTTGTTCAGATGAATAATGTGGTTAAGTGCTTGTAGCATAAGCGCTTATCATATAAGTGCTTATGTATAAGCAAGCTATTTATTCAACAAAAGATAAAATGGTCGAATTGTTTTCATACAAGTTAAAGTTGTTTTCATAAGCTATATTGAAGAGCTTATGGAAATAAGCCTAAACAGCTTATGGACATAAACTATATATAAGCCTATAAAGTAATGAAGCTTTTTCTATAATAGGTAAAAAATATTCAAAGATCTTGGCTAAATATGAAAGGAAAAGAACCTAAAGATGATATTCAATGCAAAAATAAGTCATAAAAGTAAGCAATTTTAGCATTCTTATAGGTTTTCACATTAGCTAATCACAACTTTAATGAGTATCTAGGTTTGATTAGTTATGTACTACTTAATTGACTTAATTCTCAATTCCATATGGTTTTCTAACTAACCACTAACCAATGCAACCTTTTAGCTTTCATAGTAACCCTTGATTAAATGCAAAAAAGGAACTACTTCAATTTCTACATCAAAAACAGAATCATTGAATTAACCCAAAATTTCTTCAAACACACACCACAATTAATAGATTAACAAGAAAACTTATAAATACTAAGAAGTTAATAACAATTAATTTTTTTTGTCAAACAGAACAACTAAAAACAAAACAAAAATTCTCCACACCCTAGATCCTAAAAAAAAACATAACCCAAATCTTAAAAAATAAACACCAAACCACAAAACCTTGAATCACAACTATGAAATTTGAAAACCAAACACACAATGTGGGGCCCATTATACAGTTAGAAACCCAGATTTCATCATTCATAAAATTACTTTAAAAAAAAAACCAGATCTGCAAGATAATTGAGTAATCACCTGAGAGGAAGCAAAATTGAAGCAGAAGGGTTATAAGAGAGAGCTCAGAAGCAGCTTATCCAAAAGTGCTTATTTACTGAAGAAGCAAGTATGAAAATTGCCCCTATGCTCAAGTTTGAGATTCCAATGAATGTAGAAGAGAATTTTGCATGAAATTAATTAATGAGCAATTTTGATGTTTAAGATTCCAATAACAACTACTACTACAAGAAGTGAAGATAGAGAGTTCAAAAAAATTTTAAAAATATTTAAAAAAGCTCAAGATTCAGGAAAGTGAATTATTTTTCCTTTATTTAAGTTGAAAAATTAATTAGGTAGTAATGAGAAAACAAAAGGTTTAGTTATGAGAGGAATAAAAGAATAGAGTGGCCAGCGATGCATGATCAGTATGAAGAAGTCAGAGGACAATGCACACGTAATAAGACAATGATACTCTTTGATAATAACTTGTTTAAACGCTAAAGATTAAAAGTGATTCCACCTAGTAGTGTTTGGCTTTTTCTATAATTGATTCTTCTTAAAAACTACTCAAATACATACAATTATTTACAAACGTCTATAAAAATTTAAATCTCAATTTATTATTTTTATATTTTTTGTCTAATGGTTTAATAGCGTGAATTTTAGTCTTTAAAATAAATAAATGAACTTAGATTTTTAAAGTAATATTTATATATAATTATTACCTAAACTGATTTCGAGATCAATTTTAATTGATATAATAATATATAGTTGAATATATATATGCAAAATATTTTTACTTATAAAAAATTAATCCATTTTATATACTAATTTTATTCTGCAAATATATTTGTGCAAATACTTATTTTTCTCCTTCTCTCTTTCTCAATCTAAGCCAAATTTAGAGGGTTTTTTTGTTCTACAAGGAAAGAGACATTTCGAATTAGCCTTTTTGGGTTTGAATTGCGTGCTCAATAAATTTCAATTTCAATTTCTCTAATCAATTACTTTTTTGTTTGAATATATAAGAAGAAAAAAAAGCCAATTTTTTTAAAAAATTAAGAGAAAAGTGATTGATTTTTATTTTCTTCTTTATATTTATTATTTCAATTATGAGCGTTCATTCTCTACTTTTAGATGGTACTATGTTGAAGCTACATCCCACATAATATCTTTAAGTCTTTTTTATTAAAGTCGTAAAAAATTGTTGGTACCTAATTGCGTTGACGGATTGGTCACCACATTTAATTCATTTTATATATATATATATATATATATATATATATATATATATATATATATATATATATATATATATATATATATATATATATATATATATATATATATATCGAATTAAAGTTTTAGCCATATAGATATTTATAACAATAATTTTTACTTTTATAGAGATATATAATAAGGATATTTTTAGTCTTTAAAATTGTAAATAAATATTATGGAGCTTCATCAAATCTTCTATCTTTGATGAACTCTCATTTACGAGACCACAAATAAAATAGAGCTCCAGGATTTAATAAGTTGGTGTTCTGGATTGGGTCTGCTCGTGGCTCAATCACCAGTGAAGTATAATTCAAGCTTTACAACGTATCATATTGAGCATTAGATCCTTCGAACACACTCCGATCATGGGTGATTGATCGAATGCGACTACGCCCCGCCGGTGCTCGTGAGGAACGTCCCCGACGAGGGACGTCCCAGACGAGGAACATTCCAATCCAAGTTCTGCTCGAGTACCCTCCTCGTAGGACAGACTTTCAACCTCTCCGGATTTCGTGGAGTCCTCATGGTCCCGGGAAGATCGCGTCTTTACCCTCTCTATTCTGCGGAGAGCATCATCCAGGTAGGGGACCGCGTGCAGGTCCCTACTGCTCACGTAGAACCTGGCAGTCCCTTTGTTGGGCCTGTTTGATCAGCCCAATAAAGGGACCTTGGCCCAGCGCTGGGGGCTATAAATACCCTCTATTTCGAGAGGGTCAGGTATTCATTCATTCACAACTATACACTTACTTGCTTGCTCATTCCGTCTCTCACTTTGTCATCAGAGTGTCTTGCAGGTGCCCCCCCCCCCCCCCCCCTCATCTCCTTCATATCCAATTCAAAGCCAGCTGTGACGGTCCAACTCTGATCAGGTACGATCAATGACGCCATCTGTGGGAATCTAAGCTTCCCCGTCTTATTCACTTAAAAGGACCAGAGCTAAAACCATCCTCGACTGTCATAGCTGACCAGACTCAGGACAACCAGAATGTCCACGTCATTGAAGCTAACAACAACATCGCCGACAATAATGTCGGCCCCAACAACGCCGGCATCACCGGCCATAACACGGTCCTCGGCGGCAACATCCTCGGGCCTTATAACTATCGAGACGGAGTCACGGCCTCGTCTTCATCAATCCCTCCTCGGCTTGAAAAAGATCACCCAGTTCCTCTGAACTATCCATCCGTCCAATTCCACGAGGTTCCTGTCCCTGTCGGGGCAGACGCCACGACCAGGGCACTGTTCACGGCGATTAACCAGACCAACTATCTCATCTTTGCCCAGGGGGAAATATTGAGAGCAATTGAAGACGACCGGAGGCCCCCTAGAAAATACAGGAAGCCTCAATCCCCTCCTCCTCGACGGACGGAGGAACGTCCCCAATCTCCCCCGCGGAGACAGGATCGGGACATCTCTCGAAGCCCGTCGCCTCGACCAATTGGGCGGTGACCCCCCTTGGAGAGAGAACCACTCATCGAGACGGGAAGGCGCGACAACGGCCCTTCGTGAAAAGAACGAAGACCTCCCGGGGACAGACACAGGAATCTATCAACGGTCATATCGCTCGAGGAACGTCCCGCACGCCAGGGCCATTGTGACCGACAATACTTCAGATCCCCATCCCGCTCCCCGGAACAAAGTAACGAGGACGACCCCCGCGGTCCCTTGTCATAAGCTATCATGGAGGCGCCCATTCCCCCCGGCATGGAGAAGCCTCCCCACTTGAAAGAATATGACGCGTCGCCGACCCGGTCGACCACATAGACGGGTTCGAGGCCATGCTGCACTACTACAATGTCGGGGGACCAATCAAATGTCGGTTGTTCCCCACGACCCTGAGGAAAGCAGCTATGGACTGGTACAAGGGTCTCGCCCCGGGATAAATTACCTCGTGGCGAAACTTGAAGAACCAGTTCATCAGCTCGTTCACTACGTCGCGACGACACCCGAAGACTGAAGCGGCGCTCGAGGCCATTGTCTAGAAGCGTGATGAGACCTTGAGGGAATTCATCAACCGCTTTAACCGGGAAGCCATCCAGGTCCCTTGCACGAACCATATGAAGAGATACCTGCTGGAGAGGGGGCTCCTCCCCGGCACCGAATTCAGGAAAGTCGTGGGCATCAAACCACCTCTAACGTTTGATGCCCTCCTCGAGAATGCCAGAGCCTACATGGACTACGAGGAAAGGGAAGCGGCCAACAGAGCCCGAGACCCCGGAAATCGCGGATCCAGCAGCAATCCACGACAAGATACCGCCCCTCCTCGACGAACCTGGGAAAAGAGAAATGACGATAAACCCCGGGACTTCCGGGAGCAGAGAGGGCCCTCGGGACGGTTCATAGAATACACTTCGCTCACGGCTTCCCGCGAGCGCACCTTAGCGGAGTGTGCGAGTACATATTTTAAAGATGGCGGCGTCAAACGTCCCCGACTAGCTCCTGCCAAACCCGGGGTGGACCGGAGCAAATACTGTCAGTACCACCGGAGCCACGGGCATCTGACCGAAGACTGCGTCCACCTCAAGGATGCCATCGAGACCCTCATAAAAGGGGGGAGACTCGCACAGTATCGGCGAAATGATGCTCCTCGTTGTAACACCCGCGAGACGAGGGAAGCTGAAGAGGATGCCCGACCATCTGACGAGTCGGTTCCCATCCAAACCGCATTCTCCGTCACAAGACCCGAGTACTTCTACGTCCCTGATCACATGCAAGAACC